CGAATCAAAGTCTTATAGCAAGGAAACAAAATGAATTGACTGATACAGATCAAAGCGAGGAAGAAGAAAGAAGTGGGTTCCTAAACGATTCCAGGAATTCGTTACAGATTTATGGCCAGGATGGAATAATGTGAAAGAGGATTACATGACATATGTTTTATCTGCAGAAGAGTTTGTAGATGATGTTCCTCAGAGTTATAAAAGAATTGAGGAAAGAGATGACAAAGAAGTTTGGAAACAAGCTATACGAGGTCTGGCTATTAAATAACGAGACTGCGCGCGCAGAAGGCGTCCTAGAGGGGTAGGGTGGGAAATGAATGCAGCGTTGGATAGCTGGAAGTGTCTACTATTCCAGTACGAAAACACGTTTTTGTCGCAGTAGTAGTATTTTTTCTATAGAGGTTAGAAACGAACTTGTTTTTTTCTCGTGCCGATAACAATGTGTGACGAAAAACACGAGCAACGGATCAATGTGAAATTTCTCGTTAAATTAAAAAAAACTCCGACTGAGTGCTATAAGTTGTTGAAAGAGGCCTATGGTGAGAATTCTCTATCTCGTGCGCGTGTTTTCGAATGGTATAAACGGTTTTCTGAAGGCCGAGAGAGCACCGAAGATGACCAACGTCCAGGTCGACCTGTCTCTGTTTCAACTCCGCAAACAGTGACCAAAATCAATGAAATTGTGCGCGGAGATCGTCGTATGAGCATTCGGATGATTGCTGAGACTGTAAACGCCGATAAAGAAACTGTCAGAAAAATTTTACATGACGAATTAAACATGAAGAAAGTCTGTGCGAAGTTGGTCCCAAAAAATTTGACCCCTGACCAAAAGCTCGTCCGTCAACAGATCTGCTCAGATTTTCTTGAGAGGTTAGATGAAGAGCCTGAATTGATGGAAAACATCATCACTTGCGATGAAACCTGGATATTCCAATACAATGTTGAAACTAAGCGCCAATCCATGCACTGGAAAACTCCTTCCTGCATCGCCAAGAATGAAAAAAGCAAGGATGTCGAAATCAAAATTTAAAGCCATGCTAATCGTTTTTTTCGACATCAACGGCATCGTGATGACTGAATGGGTTTCAGAAGGTCAAACTGTAAACCAAACTTACTATTTGACAGTTTTGGCAACACTACGAGAGCGAGTTCGTAAGAAACGGCCGGAGTTGTGGAAAAACAAGTCGTGGATCTTACACCAGGACAACGCACCTGTCCATAACGCGCTGTCTGTGAAGCGTTATTTAGCTGCTAGATGCACTCCAGTGCTCGAACACGCGCCGTACTCGCCTGATTTAGCACCCTGTGACTTTTTCCTGTTTCCGAAGATCAAGTCTGCCTTAAAAGGAACCCGGTTCGAGTCGATGGAAAAGGTGAAGCGAAAATCGGCGGAGCTCCTAAATGCTCTTACAAAAGAAGACTTCCAGCATTGCTTTGACCAATGGAAAAAACGAATGAAACGGTATGTGGCGAGGGGAGGGGAGTACATTGAAGGGGAGCATTCAATTGTAGAATAATTTTTAAAATAAAACTCTTTTTCATAAGCAGTCTCGTTATTTAATAGCCAGACCTCGTACATAAAGAAACAAGACATCTCTAATAGAAAACAAAACGATTTACATCGTTGCCTACAGGAAAAAAAGCAATTGACAGTAAATAGATATTCAAAATAGAAAAAGATGGAAATCACTTAAGATGTAAGGCCAGTGATTAAAGGTTGCGCACAAAAGAAGGAACTTGACTATAAAGAAATTTATGCACCTGTTGCAAAATTATTAATGTTAGAATATTACTTTCGGTAATTAACTAAAAAATTTTAGCTCATCAAATGGATGCCTTCTTGCAAGGTAATGTATACGAATATATCTATATGAAGTTACCAAATGATTTCCATACTAAAGATAAAAATGTAGTATGCAAATTGAATAAAACTTTACCTTCACCTACAGAGAGCGGAATTTTTGTTTTGATAGCTTTGTTAAAGAGTTAGAGTTTAAACAATCTAAAAATGATGAATGTTTATATATTTACGAAAAAGAAACTATAATTATGTATTTGTTGCTTTATGTAGATGATCAGAAGTAATAATCTAGAATTTTTAGAAAATATTAAGGAATAATTTAGAAACTAATGAAAGAATTTAAAATGACAGATTTAGATAAATTAAAATTTTTTTGGGGAATAAAGAGAGAGTCACGGAATGTATTTGTCTCAATTAGTATATTTTAAATTTATAGATCTAATATGTGTGACTGTAAGCTCGTAAAAACGCCTATGGAGAAAGGATTTCCATGTGAGAACACCTTGAAGGAACCTGTAATAACTAATAAGTCTCTCCAGGAATTAGTTGAATGTTTTATGTATTTGATGAATACTTCGAGACCTAATCTATTCTCTGTTAATAAATTTAGTAGGTTTCAAGAATGCTCCACGGAAAGCCTTTGGAAGGGCCTTAAAACAAATTTTACGATATCTAAAAGGCACTGCTGAACTAGTCTTACTATTTTCCATTGATTCTAAGCCAAAGGAGAAATTGATAGGATTCGCGGACTGGGCAGAAGACACATTCCAGCAAATGAGAATGGATTGAAATGGATTAAAATGGATTCAAATTTTCAGAAATACGGATTCATGAATGTTAAAATGAATCTTTTTCAATCCTGAATGCATTTTTATTCATTTATAGGAATTGTATAGAGCATATCTCTATACTTTTTAATCTAAAAATAATATTAGCATTTTCTATGCATTGTGAATACTACTTAATTTAGAATTGTAAATAGGAAGTACAGTTTTTTTAATTTAGTTAAATTTAAAAATAATATCAGCCATTTCTGTGCAACGTGAATACTACTTAATTCAATATTCTAAATATGAAATGCAGTTTTTTAATCTAATTGAATAAAAAAAGTTTATATTAAAAAATGGACCATAAATGCTATTTATATTAGATATCGGCGCACGATATCGGCCAAGATTAGATTATCCGACACTTACCCAATGTTATCTCATAGTAATGTAAATTATTTATATTTTATTATATTTATTAAATGATGGTATTTTTATTATATCTATATAATTTCATTACTAGTTTAGCTGGCTGTAATTGAAGTAGAGAGAATGAATAATACATTTATCAATTGAAGATGGTGTAGCGAGTAACGTAGAAAATTCATAATCCAGAGGTTCCCTCTGAATTCGAATCCCATTAAGGTGCGTTTTTTAATAATAATTTGAAGTAGTTGATTTCAGGTATAATTATCATAAATATCTTAGGAATAAAATTTGTAATTCTTAAATATGAATGTTTTTTTTTTTCCGAATATTAAACTAGTGTCAACTCAGATCCATTTCAATCCATTTAATTCATTTTCATGGATTTAAAATACATATTAAAAGAATTTTAATCCATTTTAATTCATTCTCTCGTTTACTGGATATGCAAATGTAATAATTAAATATATTTTTTGTACCATGTTCTGTTTTGGATTGGCATCCTCAAAAATTTGATTAACAATCTTGATTCTTCTATGTATGTGCCATAACCATCAATCTTAACCGATTTCCTAAATCTTGTACCTCATATACTTGAGCAAAAATTTCAATGGGATAATAAGAATTACATCCCTTATGAAAAAATAGCCTCAATTTTGGACATTAAACACTCAAAAAGAACGTTTAAATTTAGATGTTAAACACTTAAAAAAAAAATTTTGGTGTAATTTTGGACTGTCCACTAAAGGTTACATCCAATTAAAGATTAACACCCAAAAAAAACCATAAAAATAAATGGCTTTATTATATAAAATTAATTAAATCTGTTTTATTCCTAAAATAATATTATTAATTTACAACATTTTCCGAAATACATACGACAAAATTATAATTAAAGAAACGCTCTCTCTCTCTCTCTCTTATTTGAAAATTAATTTTCTTATTTTTCTAAGCGGTCACCCATCCAATATCGTACCCCATCCAACGGTACTTGACCACTGCAATTTTATGGAAATTGCTGCTTCCATGATCAAAGAACACTGAATGTTAGTATATAACTATGATATATCTCAATAGGACTTCAACATTTTTAGGACTGCAAGGAATATCTTTTTAACAAACTTTGGAAACATAATCTGGATGCTCTTGTGTTTTATATTATCCTTGTTTCACATAGAATATTCAACAAGGTTTCAACAAGGATAAAACGATGAGGGCACTCGGATGTTTTCGAACGCAGCCTAGATAAAGTTTGTCAAAAAGATGTTTCATTCCTTACGAAAAAAACTTTCAATTTTGGGTGTTAACACTTAAATTTAGATGTTTACCATCAAAATTCAGTGTTGACCATCAATATTGGATATACGTTGAGATTTGACCGTCAACATTGGATGTCAGTTGAGAGTTGGGCATCATTGTTGAGTGTCGGTTGAGTGTCAGTTAAGCATTGAGTATCAATGTTGAATGTCAGTTGGGTGTGACCATTAAATTCGGTGAATAGTTTGGTGTATACATCATACTATATACCGAATTTGATGGTAACACTCAATCGCGGTTTACTCATGACACTCAGTAGATGAGTATAAATCTTAAACGGTTTAATAACCTTTGAATGTCATTTTCAAAATTGAATGTAAGTATTGTGGAATGCGCGGTTCGCGCCCAAGAGACACGCGTAACCCGCGTGCAAGGCATCGCGGGAGCGTTTCCGTTCACGTGTTCGGCCGTTAGCTTTAGTCTTTGTTTCCCCCGTTTGCGCTCATTGTGCCGTGCGCCGCGATACGCGAACAAAGCGAGACTAGACGAGGTTATAGTTTGTAGTGAGAGTCAGTGGATTGCGTTGTCGAACAAAGAGCGTGCATATTCACCGAACAGTATTTGAGTGTCTTATTCTTCTTCCTGCGATCCATCAATTTGGCGCAACAACATTCTGGGGACCGTGACAGGACTTCGAGGCTTCACGTTGTTGGCCATTACGCAGCAAGTAAAGATTTACAGAAGAAGTCATGGACAGAGTGAAGCTCGCACAAAAAGTAACGCGCATTGCGTTTACGAGGGCATACGCTGTTTTCCAAGCGGAAAAGGCGAGGCAACCGCTGGACATAACCTCGCTACAAGTCGCGTACGCGCTGGTGCAAGATAAAGCAAGCGAACTCAAGGAGTTGAGCCTGAAACTACGGAACTTGATGATCCAAGCCGAAGAATCCGAAGAAGCCCTCTGCCGAGAAATAGAGCATGCGGACGAATATGCAGCGAAGTATCATCAAGCGAAATTTGAGGTAACCGGATTGATTGAGAGGCAAGAAGCTCACGAGTCCACGCTGCCGGCACAGTCTCCATCTCGACGGTCGTATTCTGCACTCGCGATGACACAGGAAAGTATGCGCACACTAAAATTACCAAAGATTGAATTAAGAAAATTTGGAGGCGATATTAAAGATTGGCTACCGTTTTGGGGGACGTTTAAGAAAATTCACGTGAATCCAGAATTGGCTAAAGAAGATAAATTTCATTATTTAGTACAGTCTATGGAAACGGGTTCGCGTGCATGTGAAGTAGTAAGTAGTTTCCCGCCAACGGCGGAGAATTATGAGAAAGCCATACAGAGCCTCGAGTCACGTTTTGGCAAGAAAGAATTGTTGATTGAATTTTACGTGCGTGAACTTTTAAAGTTAGTTTTGAATAAGAGTAAAAAGGTGTCGCTTGCGACGATTTATGATAAATTAGAAACGCATATGCGATCGCTTGAGACTCTAGATGTAACAACAGATATGTGTGCGGCGATGTTATTTCCGTTGGTAGAATCTGCGCTGCCAGAAGAAACTTTGCGAACGTGGCAACGAGTAATGACGTCGTCAACGCTGCAAACAGATACATCTAGTATAAATCGCACAGCCAAGGATCGTCTTATTAATTTGATGTCTTTTCTAGGAAGAGAGGTTGAGAACGAAGAGCGTATTCTAATGGCTAAGACATATTTCGAGAGTAGCGATACCCAGGCATCTAAAGATAAAGATAAGAAGAGAACGAGATGCGATCAAGGTCAAGGAGTAGCTACAGCAGCTGGTTTATTATCCGTGAAAGAATCCAAGGCACAACCATGTTTGTTCTGTGGAGAGAAACATCATAGTTCGAGTTGTGAAAAGGCGAAAGGCATGGATATGGACGAGAGATCTAAGATCGTTAAAGAAAAAAATGGCTGTTTCAAATGTCTAAAGGTAGGACATAGCTATAAGAAATGTTACAGCAAAGAAAAATGTCCCTGGTGCAGTAAAGGACACTGCCTCTAGATGTGCCGAAATCTTTCGAGTAATAGCCAGAAATCGGTTGATGAGAGGCCCAACGGTTCAAAATTCAACGAGGGAAATAGTTGTTTGGCTAATATTTCAAGTGCCAAAATATTATATTTTTATCTATACTGAAAATCAGGATGCGTGGACCGAGAAAGTGTATCTGTTCGTGCCATTGTAGATACAGGCTCACACAGATCCTACATTTTGAAGAGGTTAGCAAGGGATCTAGGATACGAAGCAGAAGGTGAGCAAACGATGGCGCAGTTACTTTTTGGAGGAACGAAGACTAAGCCTCAAAAACACAAAAGCTATCGGATCCACATTGGTAACTTGGAAGGAACGTATAAGTGTAATTTTATAGCCTTACAACAAGACACTATTTGCCAAGATGTTCCCAACATAGGCACCGGGTTGTGGACGGAGGCGCTTAAAGAGAAGAATGTCCATCTAAGCGACACCGGTGAAAGTAAAGAGTCTATTTCTTTGTTGATCGGAGCGGACGTTGCGAGCAAGCTATTTACAGGCAAAATCATACAACTGAACCAAGGAGCAACGGCTATCAAGACGAAGCTTGGATGGACGATTTTAGGCAGAAATTCAGAAGAAAGTAGTGACACAGACACTACGCTGATGGTCGTCTCCATGTTTTCTCAAGAGGCCAGCGTGTCAGATTTATGGAAACTAGACACGTTAGGAATTACTGACCCGATCGAGAGCATAAGTAAAGAGGCACGACAAGAAGAAATTAAGGCATTGCTTCAAGAGACAACAAAGATTACCGAAGAAGGACGTTTCGAAGTCATCTTACCCTGGAAGGATAATCATCCGCCCTTGCAAGATAACAGGGACATGGCTAAAAGAAGATTGGATGTCGTCACGAAGAAATTGAAACAAGAAAACTTATTCGACGATTACAATACAATCTTCAGCAACTGGCTCGAGGAGGGTATTATAGAAAAAGTACCTGTGCATGAAGTTGACAGAGAGAGTTACTACCTTCCGCATCGACCAGTTGTCAAGAGAGAAGGAACCACTAGGATTCGACCCGTTTTCGATGCCTCGGCCAAGAAGAAGGAAACGCCGTCGCTCAACCAGTGTTTAGAAACGGGACCCAATCTTATTGAGCTTGTTCCAGCATTGCTGCATCGATTCAGAGAAAAGAGGATAGGAGTAACAGCAGATATTGCTAAAGCCTTTTTACAAATTAGCGTTTCTCCATCAGATAGAGATGTCCTAAGGTTTTTGTGGTGGGATACTAACGGCGAAATCGAGACTTATCGTCATCGTCGGGTTGTTTTTGGAATAACTAGCAGCCCTTTCCTTCTAGGAGCCACCATAAAATTACTCATTGAGAATACGTTAAATTCTACTGTTTCGACACACGAGAAATTAATTTACAAGAAATTGCTAAGATCCTTTTACGTTGACGATTGCATCACCAGTGTCGATTCTTACGAGGACTTCGAGATTTTTCAGAGAGAAGCAAGTTCCGTTTTGGATAAAGCAAGATTCGACTTAAGAGACTGGAAGTACACAGGCCTGAGATGCAAGACTCGATCGACAGTACTTGGACTAATATGGAATACTGAAGAGGATACTCTTTCGTTGTCGGGTTTCCCCCTACAACCCACCGCAGAAAGGATAACGAAGAAAATTGTTTTATCGCACGTGCAGAAGGTTTTTGACCCATTAGGAGTGATCTGTCCTGTGTTGATGAAAGCAAAACTACTGCTACAGCGCCTTTGGAGCGAAGGTTTAAATTGGGACGCGGAAATTGATCCGGATAGAAAAAAGGAGTTCTTGGATTGGGCGCAGCAACTGGATCTTCTCCGGATCTTGAGGTTCCCACGCTGGATTTTCGGTGAGATAAGAAATACAGATACATTGTCCCTGCATATGTTCGTAGATGCAAGCAAAGATGCATATGCCGCTGTTCTTTTCGTGCGTATCGAATCAGACACGGAAGTCAAGGTTCATCTGGTGGAAGCTAAATCGAGAATAGCACCCAAAAGCAAGAAAACGATACCGCGTCTCGAATTACTGGCTGCTTCCATTGGAGCGCGGATGATGCATTCTTTCGACAAGGCAATGGATTATCGAGATATTAAAAGATATTTTTGGAGCGATTCGACTACTGTTCTAGCATGGATACGACAGACAAAGCAATGGGCTGTATTCGTGTGGAATCGCGTTCAAGAAATAAGAAGTATCACAAATGTCGAGTCTTGGAGATATGTGCCGGGGGTTATGAATCCTGCGGATTTACCTTCACGAGGATGTGATGCCAAGAAATTACTCGAGTCAAGATGGTGGGAGGGGCCCGAATGGCTAAAGCTGCCCCCGGAAGAATGGCCGTCCAAAGAAGAAGAGATTAACGAAGAGATAGTCAATATAGAGCTGCGTAAAACTTCAAGTCGACTTAAAGAAGAGACTCCCCCTAAAGCTACGACAGAAGGAATCGCTATGATTGCTGGTGAAAAAGACGTCCCTTGGTACTTGGAAAGATTTTCAAGCTACGCGAAGATCTTACGAATGATAGCATGGGTGTTAAGATTTACTAATAATTCCCGAAGAATCCACGCATCAGTCGGAGGAGAGTTAAGCGCGAAAGAAATCAGTACAGCAGAATTACTCCTCTGTAAATTAGCTCAGAAAGAATCATTCATGGGAGTAAATGATCCACGGCTGCGAGGATTGAACGTCTTCGAAGAAAAGGGAATTATGCGTATTAAAACAGCAGTTTCTAATCGTCAAGACACTTTCTGTTTTAGATATCCTATAGTGTTGGATTCAAAGCACTTATCGACGAGAAGAGTTATCCTGTATACTCATTTGAAACTCAATCACGCTGGAACCGAGATTGTAATGAACAATCTACGGGAGAAGTTTTGGATTCTCCGGTACCGACGGACGGTGCGTTCCATCGTTCACAAGTGTACGGCTTGCCGTCGACACGCAGCGAGGAACATGGAAGCGCCATTTACACCGCTGCCAGAAAATAGAGTACGAGAGGCAGCAGCATTCGAGGTGGTAGGCATCGATTACGCAGGTCCTCTTTTCTTGAAGGAAGGATGTAAGGCCTACATCTGCTTGTTTACGTGCGCGGTCTACCGTGCAGTACATTTGGAACTGGTCACATCGTTATCAACGGAGGAATTTATAGAAGCCTTCAGAAGATTTATAGCCAGACGAGGAAGGCCCTCTGTAGTCTATAGCGATAATGGCAGAAATTTCGTAGGATTAGCGAATTTACTACGAAAAATTAATTGGCAGAAAATTCAGCGATATTGCTCTCTTAGCCAAATCGAATGGAATTTCAATCCACCTTCAGCTGCTTGGTGGGGAGGATGGTGGGAGCGCCTCATCCGCATCCTCAAGGATTTGCTAAGGAGAACGCTGAGGAGAACTTCGTTGAGTTACGAAGAGATGAACACGGTCTTGTGCGACTGTGAAGCTGTTATGAATTCAAGACCGCTTACTTACATGACAGAAGAGAGTACTGAGACCATGGCAATCACTCCAGACATGTTCATTAGAGACGTCAAGGAAGCTGGCGTTCCCGATTTGGACCAGATCAGCAAGACAAACTTTGCAAAACGGATCCGTTATCGCCAAAGTCTAAAGGAAGAATTGAGAAGGCGTTTTCGCATCCAGTATCTAGGACTATTATCCAGACGGACGAAATGCAAGAACAGTTTCACGCAGGTTGCAGTTGGCGACGTAGTACTAGTCGGAAACGACACCCAAAGACGTTTGGATTGGCCGCTGGCAATAGTCAAAGAAGTCTTTCCTGGAAAGGACGGACATACCAGAGTTGTGAGACTGAAAACGGAAAAGGGAGAATTAATTCGCCCAATACAAAGACTGATCCCGTTGGAGGTGGGTCATCACGCGGGAAAAGCTAGCAGAGTCCGTGAGTCAATCAAAGCTTCGCCTCAGGATGAAGAGAGTCCGGAGTCTGCCCCGCAGGAGAAGCAGGAGTCGGTCGTCGAGGAGAAGCCGGAGTCTGTTCCTACAGAAGAAACGGATCTAAGAACTCGGAGCGGACGACTTATTAAGAAGCCAGAACGATTTGAAGCCTAGCTTCATTTTTCATTTTTTATTTACTTTGCCTTTTAAGATAGGTTGAGTTGCACCCAGATCGTGAGGATGCAACTCAAGGTGGGAGAGATGTGGAATGCGCGGTTCGCGCCCAAGAGACACGCGTAACCCGCGTGCAAGGCATCGCGGGAGCGTTTCCGCTCACGTGGGGATGTAGAATGTGCGGTTCGCGCCCAAGAGACACGCGTAACCCGCGTGCAAGGCATCGCGGGAGCGTTTCCGTTCACGTGTTCGGCCGTTAGCTTTAGTCTTTGTTTCCCCCGTTCGCGCTCATTGTGCCGTGCGCCGCGATACGCGAACAAAGCGAGACTAGACGAGGTTATAGTTTGTAGTGAGAGTCAGTGGATTGCGTTGTCGAACAAAGGGCGTGCATATTCACCGAACAATATTTGAGTGTCTTATTCTTCTTCCTGCGATCCATCAATTTGGCGCAACAACAAGTATCACTTGAATGTTAATCTTTATGATTGAGAATTAACGCTGAAATATTGAATAGATGCGCCACCAGATTCATTTATGAAAGAAATATATTTTAATACTATACGCATGAAACATCTTTTTGACAAACTTTATCTAAGTTGCATTCGGAAACATCATCTAAGTGGCCCTATCGTTTTATCCTTGTTGTCTAATGTAAAACAAGGATAATATAAAACATAGGGACATTCAGATGATGTTTCCAAACGTAGCCTAGATAAAGTTTGTCAAAAACATGTTTCATGCAGTCCTAAAGATGTTGAAATCCAATTGAGATATATCACAGTTATACACTAATATTTAGTGTTCTTGGATCATCAAAGCAGCAATTCCCATACGATTGCAGTGGTGAAGCACCATTGGATGGAGTACGATATTGAATGGGTGACCACTTAGAAAAATAAGAAAATTAATTTCCA